TTGGTGCCGGCAGGGTATGGCTTATGGATGTGATCCCTGAGTCACTGGAGACTGGGGGAAGCAGGCAGAGGATCTCTTATGCAGGTTCTATAGAGTCCAGAGTCAACAGTGTTTCCATTTAATTAAGGAAATCTGATGGATTCAAAATAGAGAGAGAGGCAATAAATTTAGATTTGCCTTTTACACATTAACAGAGGAATTTATCAGTAAAAAAGTTCATTCTGAAAATTAAAATTCAACTTATTCTACTTGTGAAATTTTGATTTGTAATATAAAGAGTAAAACAAAGAGCCTAACTCCACTTGTATCATGACTCTATAGAGGTAAATGCAGTCTTCCTTCTTCGATATTCGCCTTTAAAAAAATGAGAAAATATCATAAATAAAAACAAAAAGTGAAGAAGTAGAATAAATAAATCAGGATTCATTGCAAAGTACTGCTGAAGGACTTGAGTAAGCAATATGATATTCACAAGCTGGACTTAATATAAACATCACACTCAATTAACTTTTGTGGAAGAAATAGGAATTTGAATTTATGTTTTTTGCATGCCAGTTTTCCCAATCATTTATCAACCAGGCTTTCCTTTCTCCACTTCATATTCTTAACTCCTTTGTGAAAGATTGGCTGACTATACACCTAAGGATTTGTCTCTGGGCTACACAAAATTAAGAATCTTTTGCCCCACAAAAGAAATAATAGAACAGAGTAAAAAGACACCCCACAGTCTGGGAGAAAATATTTTCTAACCACTGATCTGAGTAATAGCTAATATCCAATTTTTTTTCAACAATATTATCTCCCTTTCTGGGAAAAGAATCACTGTATCACTGCATCACTGTCAATCCTATTGTTCATAGATTTACTTGAGCGGGTACCAGTAACCTTTTCATTCATTCCAGCCCTGAAATGTTAGCAGCCTCTCCTTACTCGTCTTTCCCAACACTGCCATATTGGAGGCTCTTTCATGGTCAGGGGACTGATACCTGTTATTGTTACTGTTTTTGGCATATGCCACAGGTAGCTTGGGGGTGGAGCCCAGCAGCTGACCTCCACTACCCAACGGCTGCCATGCTCCAGGCTGCTTTCCATATGCTCCAGTCTAGCCTCGTGCATGAGTGAATTCCCACGGAACCCAGATAATGAGGAACTTTGTGACTTTGTACTCTGGGTTCAAGAGGAGCTGGGAGCAGAGATCCTCTGCCTGCTTCCCCCAGTCTCCAGTGACCCAGGGATCACACCCATAAGACACCTCCTGCCAGCACCAGATAATCTTTTTTATCAGCCACCCTCCAGAACTCATGGGCTGCTTCTCCCGGAAGAGAGCATAAAATGAGGCCTCCATAACCATGCCACTGGACTCCGTGCCAGACTGTTTTCACTCAGGGCGCCCCAGAAGGGTCGGGTGAGAGCACTCCCCACCTCAAGGGACCCAGTTCCAGCAGCCGACCTTCACTACCCAACCGCTGCCACCACACTCCAGACTGCTTTCCACAGGCTCAGGACAAGCCTCAAGCATGAGTGAACATATTCCTGAACACATCATAAGACACTTCCTACCCGTTTTCCAAAATTACCACACCATATTTGATGGGGTTAAGACAGTAAGCAACAAATCATAGAGGGAAATAAATACATGTATATATACATATAAATTTGTGTATATATATATACATAAATTTGTATATATATATATACATGCCTCTTGGAGAGCCTGGCAAACTATTGAGAGTATCCCACCTGCATAGCAGAGCCTGGTAAGCTGGGAAAAGAATAGTATTTTTTATTTTATGTTCAGCATACATGAATCATGACTTTGATGGTTTCTTTTTGGGGGCTGAAGTATGGTTTATTGGAATATTTTAAGTGGTAAACTGATAATAATTATTGTGATGGATAATTTTATGAGTCATACTCACTAATTAATTACTTTTCCAGATATCTAAGGTTGTTTTTGGAATTGTTTGGGAGTGTTTCTAGCAATGATTAGTACTTAGTCAATGATCTGGACTTAACAGTTGTATCTTGCCAATGTGAAATGCATCATCCAGTTTATTGAGCACAGAGGGAATATTTCAGGAGAACTAAAAGGAGGCAAATGACCTAGCCTAATCTTCTGAAGTGGACAGCAGAAATATATCACTATCACCCTGTTTTCATCAATTTGCTCAAGCGGGTGCCAGTAATGTCTCCATTCATCCCTGTCACGTGCTAGTGTAGTGTAGCACAAGTAACATCATTTATTTAAATACTTATTTTTTTCCTCCAAGTACTGCCAGGAGTAAATCCTGGGTGTGGAGTCCCCCCCAAAAAAGATAAAGATATACTCATATTTTTATCACATTAAGTTAATGATCAGCAACAATTCAAAATTAATATCAGGGGGCTGGAGCGATAGCACAGTGGGTAGGGCGTTTGTCTGCCCGCGGCCCACCTGGGTTTGATTCCCAGCATCCCATATGGTCCTCCAAGCACTTCCAGGAGTAATTCCTAAGTTCAAAAGCAAGGAGTAACCTCTGTGCATCGCTGGTGTGATCCAAAAAGCGACAATAATAATAATAATAATAATAGTAATAATATCAGACTGCTCAGTAGGTGTGAGGGTTCAGTTCATGGTGGAGAGATATGACAAGAGATGTGTGCAGCAAAATAAATCTGAAAAAGAAGGACTCGTCTGCATGGTTTTCAGTGATAAAAACAGTGTTAGTGGGAATGTAATGCATAGACATTGGGATTGTGTGGGAAAATATATATTTTTTAATTTTTAAGACACTGATTTACAAAGTTGTTCATAATAGAGTTGTTCCAGGCACACAATGATTCAACAACGATCCACCACCAATGTCCCCTTTCCTTGGGGCAAAAGATTTAAACCAAAATTTAAGTGAAAGTACCTCATAAATTCCAGAATAAATGCAGATACAAGTATTAAGACATACATAAAAACACAAACGTGTTTCACATCAGATAAAGATATTTGTAAAGCTGTATATATCATAATAATTATACACATCTGTGAAAGTATAATCACTTATTTATGCGAACATAACTCTAGGGCTAGAGTGATAGCACAGCGGTAGGGCATTTGCCTTGCGTGCAGCCAGCCCAGCCCAGCCAGGTTTGATTCCTCTACCCTCTCGGAGAGCCCAGCAAGCTACCGAGAGTATCTCGCCTGCACGGCAAAGCCTGGCAAGCTGCCCATGATGTATTTGATATGCCAAACACAGTAACAACAAGTTTCAAAATGGAGACGTTACTGGGCCCGTTCGAGCACAGACCTGAAAATAGATGGCAGATTCTAATTGAACAATAAAGAATGCAAGAAACAACCCGTTTCAATTCATTTATAGAGTAAAAACCTGAAAATTCTTTTTCAGTCTTCCTAAACACTAGACACTATGATATTATAAAAATCTTCCTGGTATTAGAACATTTTAATACATTTGTAGAATGTATTAAACATTTTTTTGGTGAACACACTTTCCTACAATACTCATGACTTGTTATTCTGTTTTCTTTATATTATTCAATTACATTTATTATTTATTTTGGTTTGAGGGCCATACGTGGCAGGGCTCAGGGCTCTGCATTCAGGAATCACTCCTGAAAGGAGTGAGCTCAGGAGACAATATGAGGTGCTGAGGATTGAATCTGAGTCTCTGCTAGTAAGGCAAGTGCCCTATCCACTGTATTATTTTCGAACTTATCACTTCATGCTTCTTAGTTAAGGAAAATAAATACCATTTTCTTTCTATTCCTACACGATGCTCTCTCTCTCTCTCTGACCTTATCAACTCAGTTCATGAGTCTGATCACTTAGTTTCCTGACATTGTGAACATTTTAAAAAACCCAGCAACACTGACTCAGCACTGACTCAGACAGGTAGTAAGGACCTTGAGCAGGCAACACATTTCTCATGGTACTCATAGATGCATATTGAATATGAGCATCATTTTATCACTTAACACTCCCTTTACTGTCTCATCTCTCTTCTTGGGTTTTCCTCAACTGTTTTTCAGTGATGTGAGCACTGGATCCCCACCAGCAATGCAGTTTCATTATGTCTAAAATTAAATAAAATTTAAAATATTGTCAGAGCTAATAGAACTCCTAAGACTCATCTAATTGATTCTAATAACTAAACCAACACTATGAATTTAAAAGTGTGAAGACAGGATCAAAGAGGTATAGCGGGGATTGAGTCCATCCCTAAATAAATGATAACATAAAAGTGATGAATATTCAGGTTGGAGGACAGGGCAGTTATATTACTATCAAATATATTACTCAAGAGCTTTTCGAAAGTAAACACTGTTGAAACACTTACAAAGTATATAAGAAAATCTATACTAGGAAGCACACAAAGAAGTAAATGTTTTCATTTGCTTACTGCTTCAGTTGTTCTAGTATGTGTGTCATGAAACTTTAATTATATTTGGCATATTTGTTATACCAATACAAATATTTAAGGACTATAGAATGACCTAATGATCACCATGACTGTATCACTGTCATCCCATTGTTGTCAATTGCCTTGAGCAGGCGCCAGTAACGTTTCTATTCTCTCTCTCTCTCTCTCTCTCTCTCTCTCTCTATATATATATATATATATATTTGTGATTCGTTGCCTAATGTCTGAACCCCATAAAATATGGTGTGGCAATTATGAAAAATGGGTAGGATGCAGCCGTGCGATCAGAGTCTGAAGCAGCCTGGACCTAATGATCAAGATATTAAAAGAATATGACATTTGTACGTGAAAAACTTTGAAGACTAATCATCAAGTAGTTACATTTAATGTGTAAAATTTATTACTATTTTGTTTTCTTTTGAATCACCATGAAATACAGTTACAAAGTTGTTCATGATTGGGTTTCAGTCATACAATAAATTTAATGAATTTATTTAATGCCTATTTATTGAATATTTTGTGAATAATTATTTAAATGCTATGTCAATAAATATTTTAATGATATGAGAACAGTTATTAATATAAGATTTAAATATTCCTCTTTAAGATTTTGATTAGTGAATCTATGACTTTTCTGTTTCTCAGGCTGTAGATAATTGGATTTAATAAAGGAATAATGATCATATAAAATACAGAGTATGTCATATCTTGACCACCTGATTGTGCTTCTCCAGGACGTACATATATGAAAAGAAGAGGACCATAATATAAAGCCACACATAAGAGATGGGCTCCACAGGTGGAGAACGCTTTCCTTATACCTTCCAAAGACTTCTTTTTTAAGACTGTAAAGAGAACAAGTGTGTAAGAGACAAGAACTGTCATAATGGTGACTACTTGAATTGAACCAGCAAAAATAAAAACTATCAAAATATTAATGGAAGGATCAGTACAGGAGATCTTAAACAATGGCTCAATGTCACAATAAAAGTGAGGTATTACATTGTCATTGCAGAAAGTTAATCTCAACAACAAACCTATGTGAAGAAAAGCATGAATAATGCCAGCTCCATAGGATGAGACTGAGAGACGAAAACATAGTTTATTGCTCATAATGACTGGATACTGTAAAGGTTTGCATATAGCTACATAGCGATCATATGCCATGCATGCCAAAAGGAAACATTCTGTGGTTACTCCAATAGCAAAGAAAAAAAATTGTATCATGCATTCAGTAAATGATATGATCTTATTTTTGGAGAAAAAGTCAAACAGCATCTTGGGGGTCACTGTGGATGACAACGTTGCATCAATAAAGGCTAAACTTCCAAGGAATAAGTACATGGGAATGTGCAGTTGGGAGTCATTCCATATAAGAACAATGAGACCGAGGTTCCCCATCATGGTCATGAGGTAGACTGTCAAGAACATCAGAAATAATGGGATTTGCCACTCCTGTCGATATCTAAGCCCTGTGAGAAGAAACTCTGAAACCAATGTTGTATTGTCGGTCTCCATGTATCACTGGATATCACCTAAAATGAAATGCATTACAGTTTACAAAAATATTCACTGTGGAAGAAAAACTGACAGTTGGAGATCATTGAAAACACATCATATGACTATCAGAATACAATCTTAAAATTATAAATGATTATAGTACATGAAAATGATTCTATGATTTTAAGAAATGGAAATAACCACAGTTTTAGTTCAAGTGTATGAAGGAAATAGAATAAAAAACTGAAAAGTTATTCTAAGCATCTTTAAATTTTTACAGGAAGTAGATTTAGATTCCAAAAATGGATGTTTAAAGAATTTATCTAGAAAACAAACAAGATGTCATCTGCTTGATACATAAAATACACTGATGGCTTTTGAGTGTTTTGGCATGATTTTTTGATAGCACAAAAATTAGACATCATGTGGTGAATATGGAGATTGGAGTAAAATTATTATTATTTTTTATTTTATTGAATCACCATGAGATAGTTACAAGCTTTCATGTTTGGGTTACAATCACACAACCATCAAACACCCATCCCTCCACCAGTGCATATTCCCCACCACCAATATCCCTGGAATACTCCCCCCCTTTTCAACCCTCCCCCTGCCTCCATGGCAGACAATATTCCCCATACTCTCTCTCTAATTTTGGGCATTATGGCTAGCAATACAGACGCTGAGAGGTCATCATGTTTGGTACATTATCTACCTCCAGCACACATTTCCCATCCCGACTGATTCCTCCAGCCATCATTTTCTTGGTGATCCTTTTTCCATTCCAGCTGCCTTCTGCTCATCTGCTCCTCTGCTCATGTGGCAGGCTTCCAGCTATGGGGCAATCCTCCTGACCCTTGTATTTACTGTCCTTGGGTTTCAGCCTCATGTTAAGTTATTCTACACTCCACAAATGAGTGTAATCCTTCTATGTCTGTCCCTCTCTTTCTGACTCATTTCACTTAGCATGATACTCTCCAAGGGGGCTAGAAAGCACAACGGCAGGGCATTTGCCTTGTGCACAGCCAGCCTGGCCGAGCCGGGTTCGATTCCTCCACCCCTCTTGGAGAGCCCAGCAAGCTACCGTGAGTATCTCGCCTGGACGGCAAAGCCCGTGATGTATTTGATATGCCAAACACAGTAACAACAAGTCTCAAAATGGAGATGTTACTGGGCCCGCTCTAGCAAATCAATGAACAACAGGACAGTGACAGTGACAGATACTCTCCACGTGATTGGAACAAAATTAAAAGGCTGTATTCACCATCAAGTGATTTCCAACTTAATTATACTTCAGAATTGTCTGGCAGGATTTTGCAAAGTATAGAATTTGAGGTATTATTGCAGAAATTCATTCTGTTTGTAAGAGTGAGTTCTAGCATTCTATTTCAAAAGTAATGCTTCCCAGATGATTGAATTACATGTGAAATAGCTAGTCTTTGTATGATCAGATCTTCTACAATACATACAAAACGATAACTTGAAAAGAAATAGTCACTTGCATTCAGTGACAGGTATGAAATGAAGTCTCTGTTTAGGAAAGAAATTACTTAATTGTTACATTGGTGCTCATTAAATATTGAGAACAACTATTAAGTCACGGGGGATGATTTGTGAGATAGATGATCATTCTCTAAACATCAAAGTGAACTTATTTAGTAGAATGAGTTCACAAGAGGTAAATAGAAATAACATGCAAGGAGTCATTGTGTCATTAGTTGAAGGCATAATTATGGTAGACTTTTCCTTCAGAGAACGTGCTGAGTTGATAAAAAAATAAAAGAAACATGAGGAAATTATGCTAAAGATATTATAAAGGTTAATGCATATTATTTACTAGACCTTCTCTTTTCTCTAAATATAATCTTGCTCTCCTGAAGAGATTACCATCCATCAGGAAACCCATGATCTATAAACAAATTTTTTCATCCTATCGTTGCAACTGATTGAAGAGACTTATCTAGATTTGGCAAACAAAGCCACCAAATCTATATCTTAGAAAGAGAAGAAGGACAGGGAGAGTGACAGATGAAAACATTAGGATCAAAGGCAGCACATGAAAACTTCTCCCCAAACAAATGTTGCATCCATCACAATGTCAGTGTTGGAAGACAATTCCACTCACAAATGCAGTAACAACTATTATTGAACTACTACTGGGACAAGATTTTGACTGCAGACTGTTATTTTTCTTCCTTTATTGCTTACTTTCTCAGATGAATATTCAACTATTAAATTTAGTTACAATTTCCATGTGATTAACTGATTTCCTCCTGCATCTAAGAGACCTGGTTCATATCAAGGAAAGATTCATGAAAGGCTAAAAAGATACTGAGGAAGGTTCTGAAAGAAGCAGGAGAAACCCAGGAAGCTGCACATTATATGCTCTAAATAGAAAAAACACAGTTATTTTGCATATCCACATTTTAGCACACACATAATAATCCCACAATGCACTGCTTTTTTTCCATTTCTACCTATTTTCACATATTGTAAACCTAATTGATGTTATTTAAATTATAAAGCATTTAATTTTTTTCTAGAAGAAATAGTATGCAAATAATTTTTCTCTTACCTAAGTCTTATGAGAAACCATAGAGATCCTTTCAACTGGGGTAAAACAGGAGAATATGCAATAGCACTGGAATGACAATAATGAACGTGATAATATGCTGATTCATTTTAAGACTTGGTTTCCTCACCCAAGAAAACGTTGTTCATATAAGTTTGTTTTGATCGGAGACAACCAATAGTACAACTGTGTGCTTTTGCCAGAAGAGGAAGGACTGAGGTACTAAACTCCCCTGACAATACACAAGGACTCCCTTTAGAACAAAACTCAATTTTTCTACTGGTCAGTATGCACTTAGGAAAGCTTAAGTAGCCAGATTGTCTCACAGGACATTGCTTATCCATGAAACCATAAACTAAGAGTTACTGTATAAAGTTCTATTGTCAACAATTCAAAGTGAACTTTATGTCACTATTTTCCACCACAGAAATTACCTCCAACATATTCAGAAATTATTTTATTTAGAAAGTGTTTTCCTGAGTACATTAATTAGTATGGTATTATGTAAGATAATTATAGATTTTTTAAAGTCGTATCCAGGGAGATAAGTATGGGTGGGTGAATACTGGGGCCAAAGAGGCTATGTCAGTGACTCTGCAATTTACCTTAAGTTGGGGAAACGAGGAATTCAGAATATAGTGGTGACATGTTTCTATTTGTCTTTTATGCTCTAACAGAAAAAGCTTTCAGTGACCCTTTGTTCCAAAAAAGGTTATGTCACCTTATTATGAAATTTTGATGTGGTATCTAATGAATAAAATGAGTCTATCCTCCACTTGAATTCTGATTCTATAGAGGGAAAGTAAATTCATCTTTTTAGTAGCCTCAGTCAAATTTTCCTGCTCTTCAGATTTGTAAATAAAATACTGTAAAGAACAGTGGCATAGCTAAAAGAAGACGCACTGTGAAATGTTTCAGAAGGCTTGAGTAAGCAATATGATATGGAGATAAAGGGATTAGTATAAGCAGAAAGGCATAAATTTATAAATTTATTGCTTTCTTAAAACTCTGTATATTTATATATTTATTTATAAACTCTCTTTACTGACTATTTCTGAGTGCAAAAGTTCTAATGCTGCTTCCAATATTGAATGTATTTTGTGTGTGTGTGTGTGTGTGTGTGTGTGTGTGTGTTTTATTAGTGAAACACCATGAGGTATAGTCGTAGACTTACAAATTTTTGTGCTTGGGTTTCAGTTATACAATGATCAAGTACCCATCCCTCCACCAGTGCCCATCCTCTACCACCAAGGGTCCCAGCATGCCTCCCACCCCCCATAACCCCTATCCCACCCTGCCTCTGTGGCAGGGCAATGTATTTTTAACTTTAGCCATTTTCTCATTGTGGTTATAATTTGTATTTTCTGATAAGTAGTGATGTTAACCGAATTCTTTTTTTGTATTCTATTTGATATCTGCATTATATTTTCCAGTGAAGGACCTATTAAATGATTTTCTTCATTTAAAGTCTGATATTTTTGTTCCCTAATAATTTTACTTTCAGAGTTCTTTACAGGTACTGTATTTTCACATATTTTCTGACAATATTTAGTTTGTCTTTCATCTTAGCTATTTTTTAATAAGTAATTCTTTTTTCTCTTTTTAAATTTATTTAATTTTTCATTTATTTATTTTTATTAGTGAATCATCCTGGGGTACAGTTACAAACTTATGAACTTTCGTGTTTGCATTACAGTCATACAGTGATAGTTTACCCATTCCTCCACCAGTGCCCATTCTCCCCCACCCATGTTTCCAGCAACCCTCCCACCACCCCCACCCAATCCCCCACCACCTCACCCCGCCTCAGTGGCAGGGCATTCCCTTTTATTCTCTCTCCTTAAAAAAGTAATTCTTTTAAGTAAAATTTACCATTTTTTTAATTAGTTGTTACTTGGATGTTATATTTCTAGTTTCTCCATTTCCTTCTAAAACCCATTTTGAGTTTATGTTTTATAGTTTGTAAATCCAGGCTCATTTTTGCTTATAAACATTCAGATCCAGCATCATTTACTTAAATAAGGCATTCTCCAGATATATTCCCAGAAGTGGTATGCGGGATCATTTGGAAGGTCAATTTCTAGTTTTTGGAGGACTGTCCATACTGTTTTCCAGAAAGACTGGACTAGTGGACATTCGCACCAACAGTGAGACAGCGTCCCTTTTTCTCCACATTCACACCAGCACCGGTCGCTTTTGTTCTTTTGAATGTGTGCCAGTCTCTGTGGTGTGAGATGATATCTCATTGTTGTTTTGATTTGCATCTCGCTGATGACTAGTGATGTGGAGCATTTTTCATGTGCCTTTTGGCCATTTGTATTTTCTTTTTGAGGAAACTTCTGTTCCCTTTTTCTCCCCATTATTTGATGGGTTTGGAGGTATTTTTCTTGTACAATTCTCCTAGTGAAATAATGCTTTCTCTACCAAATTTTCTGTGTAATTTTGT